CCTCCCCCCCCCACCCACCCCTGCTGACTCATCACAGGCACAAACCAACAGGGACTGGAAACTCCAAGAGAGTGAACTGAAAATCAAAGTAATTATCTCAGGTGATTATTCTGTTATAATAAAGTGAAATAAACACAATGCTAAGGCTTTTTTTTTTTTTTATACAGTCTATGGTGAAAAGAAGAGGCAAGTCTGAGCTAACTCTCCCAGTCCCTATATCACTAATTTTTTCCAAATCTGTGTTGGTGTTTTCACCATAAGTTGGTGACACTACAGACAGCTCTAGCATTAATGAAAGAGACTGACTTCTGAATGCTGGGAACTCCAGAACAAAGCAAGATATCTATCAGGACAACTTAATTTCATTGTTGACAAGAAAATTCTTTAGTAAAGCTAACTGAAAAAAGACTACTCGGGCTACTAAAAATAAATCACATAAATGGCCATCCTTTGCCCACTCTCATCACATGGACAGTGCTTTAGAACAGGTGCACATGATGTCTTAAGACATTTCTTTCCCTCGCCACGACATGCTTCTTAGAAGGAAGTTGTTTCAATATTCTTCACATTTTCAGGATAGCATGTCTATTTCTATAATGACAAAACTTGCTATATTCAGAGCACATGGCTGTCAACCCAACGTTGTTATTGTTGCCAAGTTTTTTCAACCTGGTGAAAATCCTACAGACCACAGAAATCCAAGTCTGTCTCCTGAGAGGAGCACCAGTAGTAATGACTGGTTTATGATAAACTCCCGAGGTAGCATGGCAAATTGGTCTAAGACTCTAAGATGTAATGCTGGATACAATGACAGAAAGATTAGATAGATAAATAGAGATAAATAGATGATGTATTAATTGAAACTCATGGCGTATATAAAGTAGAGAATGTTTTAAGACTTTCATCATCTCTTCTCAAATGTACATATAACCTATCTTTTGACGTATTTCTGCACTACTCTAACACTAATTTATTGCAATTGAATCTCCATACAAACCTCTGTAAGTATATTCTGGTTTTTTTTTCAGTGTGCAAGAAAGCAACAAGAGGTGAAAACTACAGGAAGGTTCATTACATTTTTGTATATATTAAATAGCAAAAAAAATCACATGTAAATGTGAATAAAGGGAATGGACAAACTGCTGAATTTATTTAATGTAATATATTGTAATAGGTGTTAGGGAATTGATCATGTTAAAGTGTGCTATAACGCTGCCATCACAGGCTGCATGTTCCTGGTGCTTCTTGGCTCTTAAAGACCTCATGCTCTTACCTTTAGTTTCCCTTCCCCCCAAGGCTACAGTGGTCTGGAGAGATTAAACCTGTTTCTCAGGACCAAACCCATAAAGGGCAACCTGGCCTGCGATAAGTTAAAGGTAGCTCACTCCTCATAAATAAGCAATAGCCCAGCCCAAAACTGATAAAAGGACCTTCCTTTCTTTGTTCTCCTTTTTCTACCCCTTCTCCCTCCCTGCTCCTGCTCCCCCAATAAAGTCTCCGGTCGGACTTCTCTGTGTGTGCGTCTCTGGAAATCTTTCAATAGGTAAAATGAATAACCACAAGTCATACACATCAACATAGGTGTATTACAAAAAATAGTTGCAGAAAGTGAAAATTATAGTAGAAAATTTTCTACAAAATAACAGTAACAATATAGTTAATGTACAAAACTGTTACATTTTTAAACACAAAATGGGAAGATGTTAATTTTTTCAGAGGAGGGCAGGGATGGAATAGGAAGCTAGGGTTTTTATTGAATCTGTAAAGATTTATTTCTTACAAAAATCCTCAGGCTGGAAATAGATTCTCAAATGTTTGCTATTTATGATTTATGATTTTTTGTTTGAAACTTTTATAATTCTCCTAAAAGAATGCACTAACCCAGAGAACCAACCCTCTTTTCAAACCCGCTTAAATGTTGGAAGTTTCAGTGATGTTAATTCATCAACTTTATTTATTGTTCAAACCAGTTCAGGCTGTCACTTGCAACCCAAAGTATTCTATGGTAAGGAAAGGATTGCGTACGTATTTTTAACATTGACCTACCATACTGCAAATGTATATTCTTGAGTTAGAGTGAGGAAAGGACAGAAAAGGTTGTTTCAGAGAGCAGTGAATCAATTGCTTCTACGACGACTCTTTTAAAATATGATTCTGCCATTCTTCGGCTCTCCTTGTACAGAGAGATGGAGTCCAGGTCCTCTCACC